GCCCCCGCGGCGAGCGCGTCGCCGGCCGCCGTCTGAGTGTACGCGGATGGGGGGCGCCCCGCCGTTGCCCTCTTCTGTTGCCGCGCGCGCTGTCCCGAGCAGCAGCAGGAGGAGGCTTGTACAGGCCGTGCTGCTCGCACTGACCTGAAGTTTGGTGAGTGCAGCGCCGTCCCTCCGAGCAGGAGGAAGGGGGGCGAGGAGGAGGACTAGCGGAACGGCGGAGGAATGGAGGAACGATGCGATAGCAGCGGCTTGCGCGCCCGCGTTTGGCCTCCCCGCGCGCCCCCGAAAGCTGGGCACCAGAGGTCACGCCTGCCTGGGGTCACTCCTGCGTGTAGTCGATTAGTTCGGGGGGGGAGCTTGGGGCAACGCTCGGGGAGACAGGCTCAGGGGCAGATCCATCGACCCTGGTCGCCCACTGATCGCCCGATGCGGGCCCGATAGCTCGCCCCCCCCAGGAATGCGCTGACTCGCTATCGCAGGCCCAGTGCCTGTCTATCGGCGACGTGTCGCCGATTCCAGGTTGATGCTTCCCCCCCCTGAGCCGGCCCCCCCTCTGACGTTTTGTCCTTCAGGGGAAAAAGATTGAGGATGACGAGTCTGAGCTGCCGGCAGGAGCAATACCACCCGACCCCCTCAATTGTTTTGCCACGTCGTTATTCCCATATCCCCTTTTGCAGTTTACGCAGGTCGTTTCACGAGTTTCCTTGTTGTGTTCGCTCTTGCTCCGTGTGATCTGTTCAGACGCTACAGCAAGCAATACTGCTAAAGCCCGAGCAACATTCAAGAAAGTTCGTGCAGGCTGAAGGAGACAGCGAAGCGCCAAGATGCGGGAGGGCCACCCAGCACACTTGCACTTGCCACTGAGGCCAGAAATGATCCCACTTCTTCCGTGCTCATCACCACCGGCCTAGAATATCGGACTTATTCCGCATCGTTCAGAGGAGGAGCTCGATTGCGTGTAGGAGTGGCCTTTCGCTGAAGTGACCTGCTGGTGCGGATCTCCAGGATTCCCCCAACATTGGCTCGCGCGCATGGATTTGACCGCCCCCCCGCGGCCCTCCGAAGCCGCGCACCAAAGGTTATTGTTGCCTAGGGTCACTCTTGCATGTAGCCGAGATACCAGGTCGTCGTCGTCGTCGTCGTCAGTCATCGCTCGACTCTTCGAATCGTAGAAATATACTAAACTATGGCGCGTTCGTGCAGGAGTTGGAGTGGGGGGGGCGTCTGACGAGCGTTCCGTGCAGCGATCCATGTATCCGATGGCAATGTTCCTACCAATATTATGATCGGCTCTTTGGTCATTGTCTGCGTGCCTCGTCCTACACCCTTCTCACTGCGTCGTTTTCTTGCCATGGTGGTAATCGAAGACGCTTCCGGCGAGTCACCGATGCCTTTTGCTTTTGGAAAACGCTGATGCGGTCAAATGTTGCGCCACATTTATTGGGCAGTCCGTGTTCAAGCAGTTATGTAATACATTTGGGGAGGTGATCTCTGCGAGAGTGAGTGTCTGTTACTTGTTGAGCGACGCTCAGTCACTACATTAGGACAGGGTGAACACGTTTGTTTCGAAAGGATGGATTGGCTCCCGACAACATGGACAACAAAAAACAAGATGTTCATCGTCTCAGGGTTTCCTGGGTCTTGCTGGAGGGTTCCTTCAGGCCTTTTGGAGGGTTTCTTGAGGCCTCTTCGGGCTTGTTGCGGGCTTCTGGGGTCCTGGGGGGTTCTTTGAGCCATTCTGGGTTGGTCTGTGGCACCTTGCGGCCGCGAAGAGCGCCGGAGATCAGACCGCAGAGGACCGCATATTCGTCAGCGGGGCCCTCCACGTGAGGGGTGGGTTCCATACCAGACAGCGAGCAGACATTCTAACACGTCCCATGCGACAGGGACATGGAGACACGCATGCGTTTCAATTTGCAAGCCTGGCCCGCCCCTCCAGGTGGCCCCAACAGCGGATAGTGGCGGCCCCAATCGAGGGGGGGCCAGCGGATACGCAGCCGAGCTTCGCTGGCACTTAGGCCCAGCTGGAGACGTTGCCGCTGCCAGGGAGGGAAAGAGATCTCCGTGCGCGGCGGGACAGAAACGGGGGAGGCAGCTCGTGATGGGGGCTGTGCCAGCAGGCACGGTCTTCCACAGCCTCCGGGGCGCGTCGGACACGCGGGGCATTTGGGGGACATTTCTAGCGCACTCTGGCACGCTCTGTCTGCTCCAGATTCATTGCCCTCCCATCGACGTACGCCCTTGGACACGGCGCGCGGTGCCCAAACCTTCACGTCTTACGCATCTGCCTGTTACACCCTGTCTTTTCGTTTGTTCTTTCTCTCTCTCTCTATCTCTATCTCTCTCTATCTCTCTCTCTCTCTCTCTCCCTGTCTCCCTGTCCCCCCTGGATGTCTGCCACTGTTTTCGCACCTCCCCGCCTTTGCCTAGTTTCCGTCTGCCCCGTCCCCGTTTCCTTTGCCCTTCCTCCCTTGCTGTGTCCTGCGGCCCTGCTTGTGCCAGGCGTGCCACGCTTGGTAAACTCTGAGTCGGGCGCGCGTTGATACGTTAAATGAGTGGTGCATCGAACATTGTTCGCCATGTGGAAGTGGCATTGTTTCTCCTCCCTTCTCCCCTTTCGTTCTTCTCGCCCGCCTTCTCTTCATCTGTGAACGCGCGCAACATTTGTTTGGGGCGGGAGTCCGACAGGGGAGGGGAGTGGAAATACGGGCAGGTTCTTGTGATTGTCTGGTCAAAATGTTACTCGTGATACCCTGTCCATGCTTGAACGGCGTGCGTAGTTCCCTCTCGTTGAATCGATGGCCATTTGTTCCCTCATAGTTCGATTAACATGTTCATCCCATCTTCCTCGGCGGCTTCAGCCCCTCTGGCTGGAACTGCCGCGATACTTGACGTACAGGGTTCATTTCGGATATGGGAAAGCGTGTTTCTATTAGTATATTCGGTGCGTATTGTCCGCGCTCTCCACCATGTTCAGTTTCGCTGGCTTGTAATGGATCAGTAACGTGCGTTCATCTTGAAATCCGCGTCGATGTTCGCCGCCAGCGTGAATATATCGTTCTTGTCGGGGCACGTTGTGCGGGTGAGCGTTTATTATGTTTCTGTCTGGGAGAAGTGGAACACGTTTTTTTTTCAGTTCTCATGCGTAAGCAACACTTTCGATCGCACCTAATTTCCTTCTAAAGTAGCTTCAGGAAGCTATGTCGAACCGCTTGCGTAAGATCTGTTGTTGGCTGTGCCATTGCCGAGGCCATAGCTGCTACAACATCAACGCCGACAAAGCCTAACGGTTTTCCGCATGTGGCGGCAGTTTCGAAGAAGGCAGTCGAAACATGCATCAGCGCAGATGTGGCGACGCCGTGCAGGTTGGCGTGGTGTCGCCAGCCAGCTCCGCTGCCAGCGCGAAACATGCAGCGAAACACGAAACTCGGTAACCAGGACGCCCTCGATGCAGACAACAATGGGCGTTTTGCGGCGGTGGCAAATTGTAGCAGCAGCCTTGACAAGATGACGGCATGTGCAAACAGCCACGCAATAGCAGTGTATTATCACACCGCTCGATTGCGATATCGGGGCTTCAGAGGAGGTCCCGCCGAGCGTTCAACGTCATCTCAAATTGATTGCTTGTTTGATGTGTCCTTGCCCCAGCCACTTCCATGGTTAATCCTCGCTTAGCTCTCCAAGTGGGTGGAAAGCGAAATACGAGCTGCCAATGGATCATCGGATTCTGCACCTAATGGTAAGGGACCTTGGCGAGGCACGGTCAGTCTGAGAACCAGGATTTTCCAAGTGGCTAGCGAGGTACGAGCAGTCTGTGGATTCGTCACCTTGTTCTGAAAGTTTGGGGGACCTCGGGCGCCTCCGCGGGGCCCAGTGTATCCGTACCGCGAACACCGATTACGCTTGCGGACTGCTCATAGTGTCGGGTCAAGTGAGTGGGCTCGAATGGAGAGTAGAGTCGAACAGAGTAAAGGAGAGTTGAGTAGAGCTGAGTCGTGTTGGAGTTGCGTAGAGCCGAGTTGAGCAAATGGAGTAGAGGGTAGCCGAGCGGAGTCGAGCAGAGTGCATTGCACCATATTTCACAGAAGGGACAGCATAAACATAATAGATACCTCTGGGCCGCCATTTGGTGGACGCGCGCCGCTGGTGCCCGAAGGCTGGTTGTAATGTCCCAAACCTGTTAAATACAATGATGATTTCCCCTGCCCTCCCACCCCAGATCCCGACTGCCACCAAGTCGCCGCCGAGGAACTATTTTTTCAATATGTACCCCCTGGGAAACATTCTACAGGGACCGAACGATGCGATAGATAAATGCGCACGCGCGCACGCGCATGCATTGGCATATGCGCATGAACTGTATGCGTGCAGATGTGCAGGCCACTTCGGTCGACGAGTGGATACTTGTCGTCTTACTGGGACACGGTTCTTACGTACGTGCGTACGTACGCGATTGCGCGCGAGTGCGCGCGGTGGCGTCCAGTTCTCGCGCGCGGTGTGAGGTTGACTGGCCTCATTTTGGCTCCCAGAAGCTCAAATTTACAATTCGTTTTTATCACTCGGTTTCGGGGGTGACACGTGTCATCCGTTTTTGTTGTGAAGTTGAACGGCCGTGTGTTGGATCCCACAACCCCAAATTTACAAATTGTTTTTCTCATTTTGGGGGTGGTTCATGTCGCCCGTTGTTTTTGTGAGGTTGAATGGCCTTATGTCGCCTCCCAGACCCAGATTTACAAACGGGTGTCCCCACACGGTTTCAGAGATGACACGTGTTACCCTATGCTGTTGCGAGGGTGAATGGCCTTATGTTGGCTTCCAAAATCCCAAGTTTACAATTGCTTTTTCTCATGTTGTTTCGGGGGTGGCGCGTGACGTTCGTTGCTTTTGCGCGGCTGAGTTACCTTATGTTGGCCCGTGGAATCCTAAATTTGCAATTGTTTTTTCTCAACTCGGTTTCGGGGGAGACACGTGTCACTCGCTGTTTGTTTTGTGCGGTTTCGGGGGTGACACGCGTCACCCGTTGTTCTCGTGAG